CACCATGTCAGGACTATCATCTCCATTCCACAGATAAAAGAGATGAAGTCACTGGCTCTGGGTTCTTGGTGGTTAATGGCAGATCTGGGATTTGAACTATGTCTGACTTCTTTTCCACTTAATTCCTGAAATCTTTCCAAGACAGTAAGGAAAGGGGGAGGTGGAGGGGAGAGAAAAGACTTTTTTAATATAGTTTAGCATAGTCTACAACTAGCCATTCCACCCAAAAAAATGAAAATACAAAGACTTCTACATGAATGCCCATAGAAGCTTCATCCATAACAGACCAAAGTGGACACCACCCAGACATCTGTCAGTAAACGGGGTCATTGTGGTCCGTCCACACGATGTTGATGGAATAGGACTCAGCAAGAAGCATAAGCGCACTGCTGATATTGGTGACAACGTAGATCAATCTCGGAAGCATGATGTTGAACTAAAGAAGCCAGACACAGAAACATAGGTAGTGTATTATCCCATTTACAAGCTCTTCTAGAAGAGGAAAAACCAGTCTATGGAGACAGAAATCAGAACAGAAGTTACCTTCAGGAGGCATTGATAGAAAGGGGACTTCACGGATGGAAGAATTTGCTGTCTTGCTCAGAGGGATGGTTACACAGATGCACACGCATGTAAAAATGTATTGAGCTATGTATTTAGGAGTTATTGTTTTACTACATGCAAGTAACACCTCCATAAAAAGTAAATCAATAAAGACAGGGAAGGGGTGGCGGCACAGGGGGGATGCGGAGAGGCTGGAGGATTCAGCAGTGGCTTTATAGTGTCATCTTATATATTCTCTTCAATCCTCACTTGCAAAGTAGGTATAATAAAGCCTTCCTTGCAGAGCTGTTGGGGAAATGAACGTTTGTGAGCACAAATTTCTGACAGAGGCCTTGGCCTCTGGTAACCAATCAGCAAATGGGTGGCTTTGGCTGGGATTCTGCTGATGAGTTCAGTAGGGGCCACAAGGAGAATGGAAAGAGGGACGGCAGGGGCGTGATGCAACCTCCTTTCCCATCGGTGGATTTCATCATGACAGCTCAGTCCTCGCTCTGCTGTCCTCCCCTAGACTGCTGTCCTTTTCTCATGGGCAGACAGAGGAGGCGGGTGGAAAAGCAGCTTGGGTGGAGGTGGAAGCCCAGGCTTGGCATCAGGTTCTAGGTCCTGGCTGGGAGGCGTTGGCAGCCTGCTAACCTCTCCCTCCTCGGTGTTAGACTCCAGCTTGAATAACAAAGCGACTGGTTTTGTGTTTTGTTTTACCTAAGAAGTTGCACACCTCACACAAATTTTTAGCATATGCAAAAGTTTCACACTTTCACCCTGGCAAGACACCTTAGCCATCGGATGAAAGAAACGCTCCATTTCCATGATCCTGGATTAACTCAGTTCATGAAGCAACTTTCCATCACCTATTTTGTGCTCAGTACAAAGCCACAGAGATGGAAAAAACACAATCCCTGCCCTCAGGTCACTTGCAGCCTGGTGATGCCACCAAGCTTTGGGGTCGTGAGTCTCACAGCCTGGTTAGAATCTGCCCTCCACCACTTGCCAGCTCTGTGAGCTGGGGCTAGGTGCTCGACGTCTACGAACCTCAGTTTCCTCATCTATAAAATGAGATAACAGAAATATCGACTTCATAGGCTCGATGTGAGGACGAGGAGTTAATCTGTAACAAATGCTTGGAAGGGCTCTGGCATGAGCCATGTGCTCACTGTTAGTTATATGCTAATGTTACAAAGGAATGTGTACGAAGTGTTGTGGAAGCAGCAAGCAGGGAGAAAGAGTGGAAGGGAGAGAGGGAGGTACCTGGTTCAGCATTAGGGTAACACTCTGCCTTGGTTTCCTCATCTGTTTTAAAGAGATAACAGTGGTGCCCACTGCACAGGATAGAGTGAGGTGATGCACATGAAGTGTTTAAAACAGGGCCTGGCAGAGGCCACGTGTGCAAGGACTCTTAGCCACGATTCAGGGGTTGGCATACCACCGTTGGAGTATTTGGAGATTTACATTATAAAATGGAAGCAAAAGGCCTGTTAAAATCAAGCAAATAGAAATGCTCAAAGTCAACATGAAGGAGTCAACAGGGTAAATCGAACCATTTGAAGCCAAGGCCAGAGTTGGGCAAATTAAGAGCCCTATTGCTCTCTGTTATCTAAGCCACCCACGTAGGGCATGTATTTCTGAATAATAAGCCCTAAAGTCCTGCTGGGTCTCCCACAGTCCCCATGCAAGAGTGAGTCCTGCACGCTCAGCCCTGCCTGTGGTTCCCGGAAGGCCTCTGTCACTGCCTGCTCACTTCTTCTCCCAGGGAAGATACCCCAGTGCCGTGTCTCGGGGCAAGAGAAAATGAAGACAGACCTGGGACATGAACATGGTGGCCTTGTCGGAAAGCAAGTGTGTGTTGCTGAAACATCAGCAGAGGTTGTCAAAGGGATAAAGAGACGGCTTAAAAGGGTTCCTACTGACCAAAATGAGACAAGTTGACCATCTAAAATCAAATCATAATTATAGTTCAATAGGACACATTTCGTCTCTTAAATCTTCCAATCCATAATGACCATCATGGCCCATAACCTCAAAAGAGTAAAGTTAAAATAAAGTTCAGAAAAGGTTAGTTGCAATAAAACATTAGTTTTATTAATTTTAACAAGAAGGGGGATGAAGCTATAGATGCATTTTTATTCCTTCTTTTAACTATGTTGCCCCTTACAATGTACAGCTTTGCCTTACTTTTCTCTGAGTAAGGATAAAGAGTAAAGGCCGGGCATGGTGGCTCACACCTGTAATTCCAGCGCTTTGGGAGGCCGAGGCAGGAGGATCACTTGAGGCCAGGAGTTTGAGACCAGCGTGGCCAACATGATGAAATCTCGCCACTACTAAAAATATAAAAATTAGTTGGAAATGGTAGCGCATGCCTGTAATGCCAGCTACTCTGGAGGCTGAGGCACGGGAATCGCTTGTAATCCCGGAATTCAGGAGGTGGAGTTTGCAGTAAGCCAAGATTGCGCCACTGTAACTCTACCCTGGGCAACAGAGCAAAACTTTGTCAAAAAAAAAAAAAAAAAAAAAAAAGTAAAAACAAGAAGTTGTGAGTAGGTCAAATAGTTCCAGAAAAAGCAGAAATCCCCCCTCCCACCCCCAACACACAGGAAGCAGCTCAGGAGGTTACGCAGAGAAGGAAAGTGTGTCTGCTGGGGTTTTGCAAGTTGGTTAATTTGAAAGATCCCTCAAGGAGGTAAACAAATGGTGCAAACTTCATTCATTCATCTCCTGGAAGATAAACTTCGAACACCCAACTAACCCCACCAATTAAATGAGTTATAGGAAGACAGACACAAGTGTCAATTATGCTAACAGAGCTCTGTGTTAAATACCCCACCAGCATCGCCTCATTTAAGCCTCACAACTATGTGGGAAAGAGACTTTTATCCCCATTTTACAGATAAGGGAACCAACGCTCAGAGAACTGAGGCCCTCCCCCAGATCCACGTCCGCTTAGCTCCAGTCACCCCACGTCCTCTGCATGTCACAGGTGCTCAGAAAGATGCAGATGCACCTTCAGGAAGCCAAAATGAGCAGAGCCCCTAAAGAGCGGATTGACGGCCTCTTTCTGGAAAAAATGGAAGTTTGAATCTGAGGAGGTGTCCCTCAACAACAGGTGCTGCTCCCCAAGTCTGGGGCCAAACGCAGCAGCTGTTCTCCCACTTAGACCCCTGAGACCCGTCTATAAGGTTTTTCAGAGCGAGGACATATCCCCAAAGGTCATGGCCTCTGGTGGTTAGCATTGACTTGGGGCCCATCACATGCCAGAGGCTGCCCGAAGTGCTTAAATGTTATTACCTCATTTGATCTTCACAATCCTAACGGAAGTGACTCTTCTTAGAGTCTCCCTATCTCACAGATGAGGGAACCGAGGCACAGAGAGGTTAAGTGGCTTGTCTAAGAGCTCACAGAAAGAGTGGTGGAGCTAAGGCTTGACCCCAGATGTTAGATCCTGAGCCCATGCTTTAACCAGTGACCTGCACTGCCGCCCAAAGAAGGAAGCTGGTGCCTGGGAGGGAGGGTGCACAGCGAGGGTGTGCATGGTGCATGTGTGTGTTTGTGGGGTGGCCAGCACTCTTCGGGGCACTTTGCCAACGAGTTCAGCTCCCCTGAAGTCCACTGTTGTTCTCCTGACCAGTCACTCAGTCTGGATTTACTTGGCCCAAGGCCACTGGCACCAGCCTGGCCAACATGGTGGCCAGGCTTACCCCCTCACCCGCTTCCTTGCTGCAGACTCCAAATCTTGACTCCCACATCCCTATCCAGCCTATACCATGAGGCTCCCATCTCCAGGCAGGGCCCTGTGATGGGGCAGGGCCTCCCCAGATGCCCCTTATTCATTACCAGCTCACGGGATCTTCCCATGATGTATTTCCTCCGAGGGGATCAGCCCAGATGCTGCAATAGACAATTCTGGAAGTAACCGAGTGGACAAGACTTTCCCCATCGTGTCCTGGGGTTCCTGTGGTCACAGTGTCCTTGTGAATGGCCACTGAGTGCTCCCACCTCCCCCTACCCCCTGGGATTTTGTTCTGGTGCATTTTCCCAGATCATCCCAGCCCTTCCTCCCAGGATGGATGTCCAGAGCAGGGCAGGGGCTGAGCCTAGAGCCCTGAAACCAAAAGAACAGGACCCCAAATTCTGAGCCCCTTACTCGCCCCACCTGCTCCCACCCATGCTTTCTTCATTCCTCCTCCAAATGCCCCAGCTCCCCACTGCAATCCCTTCTGCACCCAGCCAGGTCCTATGACACACACCTCCCCAGTGCACACAGACCTGCCCAGCTGCAGGGCTGCCCACTGGGCACATCATAGGTGGCTCAGTCCTCTTCCCTCTGCAACTGGCCCCAGAAACCTGTCAGATGTTGGTGCCAGGTCTGTGCCAGGAAGGCAAGGCCTGTCATTTCTAGTAATCCTCTGGGCAGTGTGACTGCACCTTTTACGGCAGCTCAAAGGAAGAGGGTGACTCGTCCTGGGTCACAGAGCTGACAGGGCGGGCAGAACAGGTGACATGCAGGGCTCTCTGAGTTTATGAGGGCCCAGTCTTGTGTCTGCCTGGCAATGGGCAAGGCCCCTTCCTGCCCAAGCTCCCCGCCCCTCCCCAACCTATTGCCTCCGACACCCGCCACCCGAGGCCGACTTCCTGGGTGGGCAGGAACTGGGCCCTGTGCCCAGGGCGTGCACTGCCTCCACGCTGCAACCCTCAGCTGAGCCAAGGAGGAAGAGGGGATCGGCACTCTGAGGAAAGCCTAGCCACTGCTGCTGCCAGGAATTCCAGGTAGGAGGGGCGGCAACCTTCTGCCAGCCCCCAGGCCACTCTCCTGTGCCTGCCAGAGGGGACGGAGCTTGAGGAGAGCAGGAAAGGTGGGGCAATGCTGCTGCTGCTCACTCCGTTCCACAGATGGGAGGGACAGTGGGGCTTGGAGTGGGGGTCATGGCACAGATGGGAAAACGAAGGCTCAGAGAGGGGAAGAAATGCCCAGGAGGTACCGAGGGCAGGCGACCTCAACCACAGCCCAGCACTGGAGCTGTGAGTAGACGTAGAGTAGCAGAATATCCATTCAGCCAGCTCAGGGGAAGGACAGGGGCCCTGAAGCCAGGGCATGGAGCTGGCAGGGAAGAGAGCTCAGAGAGAAGGGGAGGGGAGTCTGAGCTCAGTTTCCCACTGCCTGAAAAGAGGGTGGTACCTACTCCCCTCACAGGGTAACTGAATGAGACTGCCTGGAGGAAAGCTCTTCAAATGTGGCCCACCCCACCCCAGTGACCCCTGACATGGGGGAGGAAGGACAGCATCAGAAGGGACTTTCCGGGCACACCCAGCACCCAGCTCTGAGCTGTCCTTGAACTGTTGCATTTTAATCCTCACAGCAGCTCAACAAGGTACATACCGTCACCGTCCCCATTTTACAGATGGGGAAATTGAGGTTCAGAGCAGTTAAACAACTCACCTGAGGCCTCACAGCCAGTAAGTGGGTTCCCTGGTCTGAATATGTGTGCTGGAGGATCCTGTGGGTCACTCGCCTGGTAGAGCCCCAAGGTGGAGGCATAAGTGGGACTGGTGAATGACAGAAGGGGCAAAAAACGCACTCATCCATTCATTCTGGAAGTATCCACGGCACGTACGCCAGCTCCCAAGCAAGTTTGCACATTGCACAAAGGGTGATGCAATCTGATTTAGGCTTTTAAAGGGATTGCAATCAAGTGGGGCCCTACTGGCCTCAACCCTGTACCACCCCTGCCTTCCATCCCCAGTAGTCCCCAAAGACCTCCATCAACCCCAGGATGGGGGCCGTGTTCCCAAAGAAAATCCAAGCTGTATATGCATCACACTGATTTTCCAGGAGCAAAAACAGAAACAGGCCTGAGGCTGGTCAGAATTGAACCTCCTCCTGCTCTGAGCAGCCTGCGGGGCAGGCTAAGCAGTGGGCTGCGCAGACCCACATAAAGAGTCTACTGTGTGCCAGGCACTTCACCCAAGGCACTTCACAAGCATGCTTGGGAATGAGACTTCCAACTCTCTAGGATGCAAGTGAAACACTTCCTGGTTCAAACAGGTGAAGCGGCCTGCCTGAGACAGCATCACTCTTCTTTACAGATTTGCTCTCCCACCTCTACCCTGTCCCATGGTCCCCCATGCCAGCCTGACGCTTGTGTCTGCCTCAGTCATGCTCCATTTTTCCATCCGGACAATCAAGAGGGTTTTTATGTCTAAGGCTGACTGGGTAACTTCGGATGAGCGGCCTCTCTGCTCTGAGCCTCAGTTTCCTCATCTGTCAAATGGGCTCTAACCCACTCTGATCTCCCAGGGCGGCATCAGTCTTCAGCATCAGGCATTTCGGGGTGAATCAGTAAATGGTAGATCTTGCTACCAGTGGAACAGCCGCTAAGGATTCTGCAGTGAGAGCAGAGGGCCAGCAAAGTGGTACTCTCCCAGCGACTGGCTGACTCACGCCACCCCCTCCACCTTGGACACAGGACGCTGTGGTTTCTGAGCCAGGTACAATGACTCCTTTTGGTACGTGCAGTGGAGGCTGTATGCTGCTCAGGCAGAGCGTCCGGACAGCGTGGGCGGGCGACTCAGAGCCCAGCCTGTGAACTTAGTCCCTGTTTGCTCCTCCGGTAACTGGGGTGATCTTGGTTAATATTCACCAGCAGCCTCCCCCGTTGCCCCTCTGCATCCACTGCTTAAATACGGACAAGGACAGGGCTCTGTCTCCTCAGCCTCAGGCACCACCACTGACCTGGGACGGTGAATCGTAAGTATGCCTTTCACTGCGAGAGGTTCTGGAGAGGCTTCTGAGTCCCCCACGGCCCAGGCAGGCAGCAGGTCTGGGGCAGGAGGGGGGTTGTGGAGCGGGTATCCGCCCGCTGAGGTGCCGGGCAGATGGAGGGGCTGCAGCTGGGCTCCTATTGTCGTAATAACAGCAGCCATGAGGGTTGTGTCCTGCTTCCCAGTCCTGCCTGGTCCCCACTCAGTACCTACTGGTGGATACACTGGCTTTTGTAAGCAGAAGTGCATGAGGGTGTCTAACTCCGCGGTCCTGGCACCCCAGGAGGGGGGCACCAGCCAAGATACAGCAACAGCAAGGAAGCGCAGCCATTTCTTTCTGTTTGTGCAGCTCCTGTGTCTGTCAGGGGGTTCCTATCTGTTGTCTCCTGTAAGCCTCACCACCTCTCCTACTAGTTGGACACGCATCTTCTTCCCCTTCTATGGATGAGGAGGTTAAGGTTCAGGGAGGGGTGGGGAGGAACGCCGGCTCACATTCTCCATCCCCTCCAGATATGGCCAGGAACAGACCTGTGCCAGGTCTCAGCCTTACATCAAGATGGGTCTCCCCATACACTGTGGACCTCTGGGCCCTCCTGTCCCAATGGAGGACAGGAAGCTGTGAGGGGCACCGTCACCCAGGGTTCAAGCTGGCATTCCTGAATAATCGCTCTGTGCCAAGCCACGGCTAAGCTCAGTGCACGATTAAGCCTCATAACCCTCCAAGGCAGTTACCAGGGTGATTCCCATTTTACAGATGAGGAAGTTGGGGACCGAGTGGTTAATAACTGGCCCCAAATCACACACCATCCATAATTTGGGCTCAGGCACCTGGCTCCAGGCCCCGAAATCCTGAGCCTGGCCCTAGTGCTCACCGTTTCTCTCGGGTCTCAGGCGCTGGATGGGGAACGGGAAGCCTGGGCTGGACTTGAGGCCTCTCTGATGCTTGGTGACTTCAGACAGTTGCTCAACCTCTCTGTTCTCTTGGGCAAAACATGATAACCTTTGACCTCTGTCCCCTCCCCTCACCCCACCTGACCTTGATCTCTGGAGTGTTGGAAGAATTTAATTTTTCCTGCACTGAGTTTGGAGACAGGGGTCAAAAAGCTGACCAAGGCCAAGCTGGCCAGTTTCCCATAGAACGCCTCTAAAAGACCTACAGCACTAGCAGCAAGGACTGGTATTCTTGAGAACTTACTGTGCACCAGGCACTTCTTGGTATTTTGTGCATATTTAATTTCACAATAACTGTATGACAAAGTCCACCTTTCTCATCTCCAGGAAACTGAGGTTCAGAGAGGTTAAGTAACGTGTCCAAGGTCACACAGCTAATAGCAAGTTGATCTGGAGCAATCTGGCCTGAGAGCCTCTAATGTTAGCCACAAACTGAGGCTGCCCCTCTTCATTTAGCCAGGCCACCTCTGAAGTCTTCTGGTTCAAGACTTCTGGCTCCAACTTTGTACACAGAGACGATTAAATGTCACGTTTTGCAGTCAAATCTGTTTAATCCCAGACAAAACATCTGGGATTAAATCTCAGTTTTGTAAGCAAGTAGCTCTGTGATTTTTAGTGAGTTATTTAATCCTCTTTGGGCCTCAATTTTTCTGTCTATAAAATAGGGTTAATCATTTGCACCTCATAGGGTAAGTTTTGAGGACAGATTAGATGATACAGTGCCTGTAAATCGCCTGGTGTTAGTAAGTGTGGCAATGATGGTGATACTGAGGTTGATGTTTGCTTAGCATAGGTTAGGCAGCTAGCAGGCAGTAAACAAATACTTGGAGAATTTAATGGAAAATTGGCCAAACTCAGATGCTGTTCACTGCTGAGCAGGAGCCCCTTCCTGCTGAAATGCGTCCTGGGGAGTGCAGCAGCTGGCCAGGAAGAAATCTGCCATCTCTCGGGCAGGAGCTCAACCTGTGTGCAGGCACCTGGTGCCCACTCGCGCATTACGTCAGTTATTCCTCATCTCTGTCTAAGGGATTCTTTTCTCCACTGTACAGCGCTGAAGCCAATGCTCACAGAAGTGAAGTCATTTACCCCAGGCCCCCTGCCAGTAAGTGACAGGGCCTGGTCACACTTGGGTTTATTTACTGCCCATTTCAACAGGTTGTTTGACCATAGGCGAGATTCTCTTCCCTGCACCCTGCTGGGTTGCTCTTGGTCCCTTATTTTATGCTCCCGGGTAGAAATGGTGTGAGATTAGGCAGGAAGTGGCTTGCTTCCCTCTTCCTGGCCCTGCAAAGGGTGCTCCCACCTGCCCCAGTTCCAGAAATGTCACCATGAAGTCTTCATTCTTTTGTTTTAAAGCTTGGCCTCAGTGCCCATACACCATGGGGTACCTGGCCATCTACTTTCTCCTCTCCAGTCACCCTCCCAGGCACTAGCTTTTGAGGGTGCAGGGTGCTGCCTCTGATAGAAGGGCCAGGAGAGAGCAGGTTTTGGAGTCCTGATGCTATAAGGAACAGCTTGGGAGGCATAATGAACCCAACACGATGCTTGAGACCCATGTCAGAGCCCAATTCTGCCATTCATCATCTGAGATTTGAGGGCACAGCTGTCTCAGTCCGTGATCTGAGTGCTGGGAAAGCCAAGACTTGTTCCAGCTTTGTCACCGACTTGCTGTATGGCCTCGACAAGGCCCTGACCCTCTCTGGGCTTCAAACTCTTCACTGTGAAAGGAGGAAACCAGAGGAGGTGATGTGACGCCAGGAAAGATGGATGGGTGTGGGGAATTGTGCTCCTCCCAGCTGTCACCCCCTCTCCACCCTCCCTGCACCAGCCTCGCCACCTCCTTTGAGCCCAGCAGCCTCCTGTCTAGGAAGGTGCCTCTTCTCCTACATCGAACCCAGATGCCATTCTAACCAAGAATCCTGGCTGGGTGCAGTGACGCTCACCTGTAACCCCAGCACTTTGGGAAGCCGAGGCAGGCGGATCAAGAGGTCAGGATTTCAAGACCTGCCTGGCCAACATGGTAAAATCTCGTCTCTACTAAAAATACAAAAATTAGCCAGACGTGGTGGCATGTGCCTGTAATCCCAGCTACTTGGGAAACTGAGGCAGGAGAACTGCTTGAACCCAGGAGGCAGAGGTTTCAGTGAGCCAAGATCATGCCACTACACTTCAGCCTGGGGGATAAAGCAAGACTCTGTCTCAAAAAAAAAAAAAAAAAAAATCCTATGTTAGCGTACAGAGGTCCCCAGTGAGGTCTTCTCCCAGCCCCACTTTGCACAACTGGGGAGAGTGAGGCCCCAGGACCAGGGGATGCTTACTCAAGGCCAAATGGATAGTGATGGCCCTGCCAGGACTAGAAGCCACAACTTCTGGCCCTAAGGCCACTCAGCGTATTTAGTGTCCCCACCCTGCAGAGGCCCAACTCCCTCCTGACCTCTGAGCCCTGTAATGATGGGGGAATTTCCATAAACCATGAAGGACTGCACAAAATCCAGCTGGGAAGTGAAAGAGAAACCTAAGGGAGATGGAAATATACAGCACTAATTTTAGCACCGTCTTCAGTTCTAACAACACTAGCTAGTTGAAGAAAAATACAAACATGTATTATGTAGTGTGTGGTCCGTTCCATTTGGATTACTTAGAGGCAAGAGGGCCAGGAGAAAGGTGGTAGAGAGAAACCAGCTTTAGGCTTCATTTTGTTGCTTTACTGGAAAGAAACGTTTAACAGTCCAGGGGGGTCAATGAATCTCAATATTTGTTATTTCCAAATTTTTTCCCAGTGTTTCGTTTCCCAAATTCAAGGACATCTTTTTCTTTGTATTTTGTTAAGATGATGATTTTACTTTTGTGACTAGTAGTTAACTATGTGGCTGCCAGGCATATTCTCCTCAGCTAGGACCTCAGTTTTCCCATCTGTGTAGACAGCAGGTTCTACTTAGGGGGCTGCAGATTGGTGGTCCGAAGTCTGGGCATATCTGGAGTAGAAGGAGCACTGTGGGGCAGGGCAGGCTCTGCGTTGCTGTGGATGACACTGACTTTGACCATTGCTCAGCAGAGCCTGCTCTCGCCGGTTCAGCCACAGGCCCCACCACTCCCTATTGTCTCAGCCCCAGCTATGAAACATGTATTCCTCACTGGACTATCACCTGAAGGCTTTGAATTTGCAACACCTGTCAACCCCTCCCTCAAAAGGGTTGCCCTCTCAGATCCTTTTGATGTAAGGTTTGGTGTCTAGACTTATTTCACTAAATTCTTCCAACAGCCTCACTTTATGTATGAGGCAAAATGAGGACCAGGGAGATAAATGACGTGTCCTGGCTCATACACCTGGAAAGTGACAGAGTCAGATTAGATCCCAGGCCTATCTGAAGCTAAAAGAGATGCTTTTTCACTTCCCACCACCCCCATCTCCTTTAAAGCAGCACAAAGCCTTGCTTTACAGGAGAGATGAGCTTCTCTAAAGTCCCTGACAGCAAGAGCCCAGAACTGGGACACCATTGGTGATCCAGATGGCAGGTGAGCTGACTGCAGGGATATCAGCCTATTCTTGTGGCTGGGACCACAGAGCATTGTGGGGACAGCCCCCTCTCTTAGGAAAAAACCCTAAGGGCTGAGGATCCTTGTGAGTGTTGGGGGGGGAACAGCTCCCAGGGGATTTAATCACAGCCCCACCATGCTCTAGCTGGTGCCATTGTGCAAGATGCATTTCCCTTCTGTGCAGCAGTGTCCCTGGCCACTCAACAGTGGGATTAGATAGAAGCCCTCCAAGGGCTTCTAGCTTGACGTGATTCTTCATTCTGATCTGGCCCGATTCCTGGATAATCGTGGCCAGGCCCATTCCTCTTCTTATGCCTCATTTGCTTCTTTTGTAAAACAATGGCTGTACCACTTGCATCTTAGGGTCATTGCAGATGTAAGTGGAGCTGTCCAGAGCCTGGGCGCAGGACCTAGATGTAGGATTCTGGTTCTGCTACTTTACTTCCTCAGTGACATTGAATAGGTGACCTAATCTCTCTGGCTTTGGTTTCTTCATCTGAAAAAGAAGGATAGTAGCATCAGCACCTCACAGGATTGTTACAAGAAAGCAATGAGTTAACACATGTGCACACGTAGAACAGTGCTTGGCATATGGTAAGCACTACATACATTTTGCTATTCTTCTGATTCTTTCAGTGTTACTGATGTCAGCAAGTACTTGGCACAGGCTGGTTTAATAAGCCTTAGGCACTTCCACGTGGTGTCAATCCCAGGTCACTGGGAGTCATCATGTGCCCTGACTCGGGGCCTGGCCCCCGTCTCTGTCTTGCAGGACAATGCCATCTTCTGTCTCATGGGGCGTCCTCCTGCTGGCAGGCCTGTGCTGCCTGCTCCCCGGCTCTCTGGCTGAGGATCCCCAGGGAGATGCTGCCCAGAAGACGGATACATCCCACCATGATCAGGACCACCCAACCCTCAACAAGATCACCCCCAGCCTGGCTGAGTTCGGCTTCAGCCTATACCGCCAGCTGGCACACCAGTCCAACAGCACCAATATCTTCTTCTCCCCAGTGAGCATCGCTACAGCCTTTGCAATGCTCTCCCTGGGGACCAAGGCTGACACTCACAGTGAAATCCTGGAGGGCCTGAATTTCAACCTCACGGAGATTCCGGAGGCTCAGGTCCATGAAGGCTTCCAGGAACTCCTCCGTACCCTCAACAAGCCAGACAGCCAGCTCCAGCTGACCACCGGCAACGGCCTGTTCCTCAACAAGAGCCTGAAGGTAGTGGATAAGTTTTTGGAGGATGTCAAAAAACTGTACCACTCAGAAGCCTTCTCTGTCAACTTTGAGGACACCGAAGAGGCCAAGAAACAGATCAACAATTACGTGGAGAAGGGAACTCAAGGGAAAATTGTGGATTTGGTCAAGGAGCTTGACGGAGACACAGTTTTTGCTCTGGTGAATTACATCTTCTTTAAAGGTAAGGTTGCAAAACCAGCCTGAGCTGTTCCCATAGAAACAACCAAAAATATTCTCAAACCATCATCTCTTGAACTCTCCTTGGCAATGCATTATGGGCTATAGAAATGCATGTCAGTGTGGGCTCTTCAATTTTATACACACAAACACTAAAATGTTTTCCATCATTGAGTAATTTGAGGGAATAATAGATTAAATTGTCAAAACCGCTGACAGCTCTGCAGAACTTTCCAGAGCCTTTAATGTCCTTGTGTGTACTGTATATGTAGAATATATAATGCTTAGAACTATAGAACAAATTGTAATATACTGCATAAAGGGATAGTTTCATGGAACGTACTTTGGACGACTCTAGTGTCCCAGAATCAGTATCAGTTTTGCAGTCTGAAAGACCTGGGTTCAAATCCTGCCTCTACCACTATTAGCTTTTGACACCGAACAATGCATTCTACCTCCTTGAGGTGCTAATTTCCCATCTTAGCATGGACAAAATACCATTCTTGCTGTCAGGTTTTTTTTAGGATTAAACAAGTGACAAACACCTTGGGAAAAGTGTGGCATACAGTAGGTGGTGGACTCTTCTGTATCTCAGGCTGCCTTCCTGCCCCTGAGGGGTGCTCTTGAGGCAAAGGAGGGCAGTGGAGAGCAGCCAGGCTGCAGTCAGCACAACTGGGGTCCTGGCTCTGCTGTGGCTTAGGGCAGGCCCCGGTCCCTCTCCAGCCCCAGTCTCCTCCTTCTGTCCAATGAGAAAGCTGGGATCGGGGTCCCTGAGGCCCCTGTCCACTCTGCATGCCTCGATGGTGAAGCTCTCTTGGCATTGCAGAGGGGAGGCTGCTCAGGCATCTGCGTTTCCCCTGCCAATCCAGGGGATAAAGAAAACCCTCAGGAATAGTAAGCAGAATGTTTGCCCTGAATGAAGAACTGAGCTGCCAATTAACAAGAGGCAGGGAGCCTTAGACAGGAGGTAACAAATATGCCTGATGCTCCAACATTTTGTTTGTAATATCCAAGACACCCTCAAATAAACATACGATTCCAATAAAATGCACAGTCAGGATGGCATCTCTTAGCCTTACATCTCTGCGATGTAGAAATTCTGCATCTTCCTCTAGTTTTGAATTATCTCCACACAGACCTTTTTGGCAGCCTGGATGGTTGGTTTCAGCACCTTTTGCAGATGATGAAGCTGAGGCTTGAGGGATGTGTGTCGTCAAGGGGGTTCAGGGCTTCTCAGGGAGGGGACTGATGGCTCCTTTATTCTGCCACACTCTTCCAAACCTTCACCCACCCCTACTGATGCCCACCTTACCCTCTCTGTCCAGGCAAATGGGAGAGACCCTTTGAGGTCGAGGCCACCGAGGAAGAGGACTTCCACGTGGACCAGGCGACCACCGTGAAGGTGCCCATGATGAGGCGTTTAGGCATGTTTAACATCTACCACTGTGAGAAGCTGTCCAGCTGGGTGCTGCTGATGAAATACCTGGGCAATGCCACCGCCATCTTCTTCCTGCCTGATGAGGGGAAACTGCAGCACCTGGAAAATGAACTCACCCATGATATCATCACCAAGTTCCTGGAAGATGAAAACAGAAGGTGATTCCCCAACCTGAGGGTGACCAAGAAGCTGCCCACAACTCTTAGCCACGTTGGGACTGAGGTCCATCAGGACTGACCAGAGGGTTGGAGAGGGTGAACACCACATCCCTGGGTCACTGCTACTCTGCATAAACTTGGCTTCCAGAATGAGGCCACCACTGAGTTCAGGTGGCACCGGCCATGCTCCATGAGGAGGACAGTACCCAGGGGTGAGGAGGTAAAGGTCTCGTCCTTGGGGACTTCCCACTCCAGCGTGGACACTGTCCCTTCCCAATATCCAGTGCCCAGGACAGGGACAGCAGCAGCACCACCACACGTTCTGGCAGAACCAAAAAGGAACAGATGGGCTTCCTGGCAAAGGCAGTAGTGGAGTGTGGAGTTCAAGGGTAGACTGTCCCTGTGGGGATGGGGGAAGAGCCTGTGTGGCTAGGCCCAGAAAAGCAAGGTTCAAAATTGGAACAGCCAGGGCATGTTAGCAAAAGGCTTGAGTTTCTCTGTCACTTTATCGGTGCTGTTAGATTGGGTGCCCTGTAGTAAATGATACTCGAATATGAGTCACACATTAGTGTGTCTGTGTGCATTCGTAATTATGCCCATGCCCTCCTATCTAGTTTATTTTGTATACTGTAAAACCAAGATGAAAATACAAAAGGTGTTGGGTTCATAATAGGAATTGAGGCTGGAATTTCTTTGTTTCACGCCAGCACCTCCTGAGGTCCCTGCTCCAGGGGTTGAGAAAGAACAAGGAGGCTGAGAGGGTAACTGATCAGAGCCCAGAGCCAGGCTACCCGCTCACACCAGACCCTGCCCGGGGCGGCTCTGTCTCCCCATGGAAAACAAGAGGGGAGCACTCAGCCTGGTGTGGTCAGTCTTCTGGGGGCACTGCCACCAGCCCATGTTCCTCTGGGTATAGGGCCCTGGGGATGTTTCAGGCTGGGGGCCCAGTGACCAAACACTACAGGGCAGGATGAGACATGCTTCCAGTACACCTAGAATCTCAGAGGAGGTGGCATTTCAAGCTTTCATGATTCATTTGATGTTAACATTCTTTGACTCAGTGTAGAAGAGCTAATAGTAGAACAAACCAAAGCCAAGTTCCCATGTTAGAGTGGGTGGAGGACACAGGAGTAAGTGGCAGAAATAATCAGAAAGGAAAACACTTGCACTGCGGTGGGTCCCAGAAGAACAAGAGGAATGCTGTGCCATGCCCTGAATTTCTTTTCTGCACGGCAGGTCTGCCAACTTACATTTACCCAAACTGGCCATTACTGGAACCTATGATCTGAAGACAGTCCTGGGCCACCTGGGTATCACTAAGGTCTTCAGCAATGGGGCTGACCTCTCGGGGGTCACGGAGGAGGCACCCCTGAAGCTCTCCAAGGTGAGATCACCCTGATGACCCTGTTGCACCCCGGGATCTGTAGGGAAGAATGTATGGGGGCTGCAGTTCTGTCCTGAGGCTGAGGAAGGGGCCAAGGGAAACAAATGAAAACCGAGGCTGAGCTCCTGAGGATGCCCGTGATTCACTGACGCGGGACGTGGTCAGACGGCAAAGCCAGGCAGGGGCCTGCTGTGCCGCTGGCACTTTCAGGGCCTCCCTTGAGGTTGTGTCACTGACCCCGAATTTCATCTTTGCCCAGGACCTTCTAGACATTGGGCCTTGATTTATCCATATTGACACAGAAAGGTTTGGGCTAAGTTGTTTCAAAGGACTTTGTGACTCCTTCGATCTGTGAGATTTGGTGTCTGAATGAATGAATGATGTCAGCTAAAGATGACTCTTACTTTGGAAAACTAAAGGTGACCAAAGAACAACTGCAGTTCCTTGGGGCTGCGTTGTCTTGGGGTCTGGGCACTGTGAAGGTCACTGTCAGGGTCCATGTCCTCGAGGAGCTTCAAGCTGTGTGCTAGAAAGGAGAGGGCCCTGGAGGCAGGCGTGGAGTGGCGATGCTCTTCCCCGTTCTGAGTTGTGGGTGCACCCTGAGCAGGGGCATAGGCGCTTGTCAGGAAGATAGACAGAGGGGAGCCAGCCCTGTCAGCCAAAGCCTTGAGGAGGAGCAAGGCCTGTGTGACAGGGAGGGAGAGGATGTGCAGGGCCAGGGCTGTGCAGCGGGAGAAAGGCCTGAGTGAACACTTTCTGGGAGGTGTCCACGTGAGCCTTGCTCCAGGCCCGGGCTGGGGCACAACTCAGCCTTAGAACACGTCTCTGCTTCTCTCCCTTCCAGGCCGTGCATAAGGCTGTGCTGACCATCGATGAGAAAGGGACTGAAGCTGCTGGGGCCGTGTTTTTAGAGGCCATACCCATGTCTATTCCCCCCGAGGTCAAGTTCAACAAACCCTTTGTCTTCTTAATGATTGAACAAAATACCAAGTCTCCCCTCTTCATGGGAAAAGTGGTGAATCCCACCCAGAAATAACTGCCTGTCACTCCTCAGCCCCTCCCCTCCATCCCTGGCCCCCTCCCTGGATGACATTAAAGAAAGGTTGAGCTGGTCCCTGCCTGCATGTGACTGCAAACCCCTCCCATGTTGTCTCTGGGTCTTCCTTTGCCTGCTGAGGCCGTGTGTGGGCTCCAGGTCACAGTGCTCTCTCCGGACCCCCTCAACTGTGCTCATGGAGCGTCTGGCTGGGCAGGCATATGCTGGGCCAGGACGGAGGGGGCTGAATCCTCAGCTTACGGACCTGGGCCCATCTGTTTCTGGAGAGCTCCAGTCTTCCTTGTCCTGTCTTGGAGTTCCTAATAAGGAATCACAGGGGAGGAATCAGATACCAGCCCATGACCCCAGGCTCCTCCAAGCATCTTCATGTCCCCCTGCTCATCCCCCACTCCCCGCCACCCAGAGTTCCTCATCCTGCCAGGGCTGGCTGTGCCCACCCCAAGGCTGCCCTCCTGGGAGCCTGAGAACTGCCTGATCATGCCCTAGCCCTGTTTTGTGGCATCTGCAACAACGAAAGAGAGAGGACGGTGTCCTCTTCTTGTCCCACTGTCGCCTAACCAGGCTTGGGCCCTGCGCCTCTTGGGCACTTCTGGAAAATGACTGAAGCAGATTCCTCCTGAAGCCCATTCTCCATGGGGCGACAAGGACACCTATTCTGCCCTTGTCCTTCCATCGCTGCCCCGTAAAGCCTCACATGTCTCAGTTTAGAATCAGGTCCCTTCTCCTCAGATGAAGAGGAGGGTCTCTGCTTCTTTTTCTCTATCTCCTCCTCAGACTCAACCAGGCCCAGCAGTCCCCACAAGACCATTACCCTCTATCCTTTCTCCTCCCTAGTCATGTGGCCATAGGCCTGCTGATGGCTCACGAAGGCCATCGCAAGGATTCCCCAGCTATGGGAGAGGAAGCACAGCACCCACTGACCCCTGCAACCCCTCTCTTTCTCCCCTGAGTCCTGACTGGGGCCACATGCAGCCTGATTTCTTTGTGCCTGTTGCTGTCCCTGCAGTCTTCAGAGGGCAGCCGCAGCTCCAGTGCCATGGAAGGAGGCTGCTCCTGAATAGCCCTTGTGGTAAGGGCCAGGAGGGTCCTTCCATCCTCCAAGGCTCTGCTAAAGGGCACAGCAGCCAGGAGGTCCCCTGAGCCCCCAGCTGAAGGACAGGCTGCTCCCTCTGTCTCTACCAGGGATTGCCTTGTCCTGTGGAAGGCACTGACCCATCCCAAACTAATCTTGGAATCCCTGTCTAACCACTCACTGTCATGAATGTGTGCTTAAAGGATGAGGTTGAGTCATACCAAATAGTGACTTTTGTAGTTCAAAATGGTGAAATTAGCAATTCAACATGATTCAGTCTAATCAATGGATACCAACTGTTTCCCACACAAGTCTCCTGTTCTCTTAAGCTTACTCAGTGACAGCCTTTCACTCTCCACAAATACATTAAAGATATGACCGTCACCAAGCCTCCTAGGATAACACCAGACCGGAGAGTCTGAAGACCGGTATCCAAGTTCTGACTCTTCCCCCTGCCAGCTGTGTGACCTTCGTGAAGTCGCCAAACCTCTCTGAGCCACAGCCATGGCCAGTAAGACCTGCCTTTGAGTTGGTACGATGTTCAAGTCAGATAATAAAACAACGTTTACACCTATTAGAGCAGAGAATAAATAGAGCTACATTTCTTGCATTTATGAGCTTTCTGTGAATCAGACATCCCTGTGAAGAACCTCCCTGGCTATTTCTCATTTAATCACTGTAGCAGCACTGTGATGTGTGAGTAGATCCGCTGTGCTCTTAAACTCCAAATCTACACATGAGGAAACTGAGGCTCAGAGAGGCTGCTGGTCTCCCACAGTGTCACATAGTTCATAAGTGGCAAAGCTGGCTTGATGGGCTACTCGTTCCTCTGAACCACACCACCTCACCACACTCTCCCCTTCGAGGGTCATGCTAAACTTCTGCAGAGCTAATTCCTCCTTAAACCATAAGGGTTGCTGGTGGCCCACAGCTCACGCCTAGCATGCTTCATGAGAAAAACGCCCTCCAACCAACGTGGAGCAGCCCCTGAGCTGAAGGTGGTGAGCAGAAGCTCATCCACCAGATGTTGACACAGCCCGCGGCCTTGGGTGACCCACAGGACTCCTCTTATTTAACTGGCATTTGGTAGGAGAACAGGGGTAGAGTCAAAGACAAGTGGGCTTTCCGGAGCAGCCAGGACAGGGAAGGAGGCTGCAGTGTTGAGGGCATCACCTTAGACACCATCGTTTTACTTTGAAGAATCGTCTGTCACACACGAGTTGACAGTCTGGTTGGGAGAGACTCCATTCAAACCAGCATAAGCTCCCAGAGGAATTCCCGGGCTCCCGTGGGAACCAACAGGGATCAGTCAGGGATGGGCAGAGCGTCATGACAACCTCATTAGGAGGAAGACAAATACATGTCACAAGTCCGTGAGGCAACAGCCATAAGACCTCAGCTTCACTGTATCTTCCAGAGTTTTTAAAAAATGCATTCACTGTCTAATGTGATCCTCCAGACAGGTCCTGCAGGACTCAGCCTAGGAATCATTATCCCCAAAGTACACATAGGGAAACTGAGGCACAGCAGGTCAAATGGTCTGTCCAGTGTGGGCCTGGAAGGCAGGACTTCTCCGCTCTTAGGCCTGGCTGTCCCCAACTGCACACACTTCCTCAGTCCATATGGGATCACGATAAAAACTCCATCCTCCAGAACCACACTGCGTCAACCGGCTGTGCTCTAACAGCAGCTGAAGACCAAGCTGCGGGGCATCCTGAGTGTTCCGAGTCAGTTTCCCACTGCAGGCAGGAACCTCATCCTGCTCTGAAACAGATGAGAGCAAAACACAGAAAACAGCTTCGAGCTCAGCCGGGAACCTTAGAGTCATGACTTTTTACCCCACCTAGGAGTTTGCAGGGGACAGAACACACGAATTTTAGATTTTAAGCCTAAATAAAGGAAGCCTTGGTTTGAAGTGCAAGCTCTGCCAGACAGGGGGCACCCTGTGAGCCCTATTTGTTAAGAGGGGCAGGGGAGGCACAGGGAAAAGGCCCGGGCTGCTCTTAAAAATCACACCTCACATTGAGACCGATGCGTGGAGACTGCGGCAGAAGCAGCAGAGGTGAGGACCCCGTGTGAGCTCCTGTGGCTGCCGTAGCTGATTACCACGAGCTCCGTGGTTTCCAATAGAAATGCATTCTCTTACAGTTCTGGAGGCCAGAAATCCAGAACAGTGTCACCGGGACAAGGTCAGAGTGTCAGGAAGGCCGAGTGCCCTTGGAGGCTCTAGGGGATGTGCCACTTCCTCCTCTTGCAATTTCTGGTGGCTGCCGGCGTTGCTTGATTAGTTGCCCCTCCAGTGGCGGACTCTGTTGTCACACTGCTCCCTCTTCCTCCATCTCTGTCAGGTCTCCCTCCCCCTTCCCCTCAGGAGGATACCTGCAGTAGCATTTAGGGCCCACCTGGATTGTCTTCTCCTATCAAGATCCTTAATGACATCTGCAAGGACATTTCTCCCATAGATGGTAACATATCTCTGGGGGGCGCTGTTGAGCCTGTAGAAGGCCCTTCTTTACCAGTGAGGGGATGATGGGGCCGGAAGAGGGAAGGAATGAAATGAGTGTGAAGGAAGCGCCACCAGGGAGAGCTGTGGAAGCCCAACCCAGACCGCACTGGGATGTCGGGAAGGGCCAAGGTGCAGAAGGAGAAGGAAGAGGGTTGGAGGTGGAGGGCCAGCAGCACCAAAGCTCCAAGCCAGGGAGAAACTCCCCCGCCAGGGGACGGAGAGAAATGGTGGGGTCGCTCTCTCAGGGAGTGGCACAGCAGGGCCAGGGCCAGATCTGGAGGTGGGTGTGCCCCCTAGGGGGGTGCAGACTCACAGCCCCTCCAACAGGGAGCCTCTCCAGGTGAGAGCAAAGTGGAAAAGAGGGCAAAACCCCGACTATCAGGCAGATTCTGCAGCAAAAATGACTTCAGAGGTGACCTGTGTGTAGCCTCAGGAACGGGATATAGGTGGCCTTTGTAAGCTCACCCTGCAATGGTGTCTGGGTCCCATGTCCCCTGTTCCAGACAGAGACAGGCCTTGGCCTCCTGAGGGGGGGCAGCAGGAGGACAGGCCCCTCGCTGAGCCTGGAGTCTCTCTGTACAGCAGGCACCTTCTCCCGAGCACTCCCACCACCAACGTTTCATCCTATTCCTTCCCCGGGGCACAGCTGCGATTTCTCTCTTAGCCCAGGGAAAGGAATACAACAGATTGCCTTATACTGAAGTGAACATGGCTGACCCGGGCTTATTGGGAGCCCCTCCCAAGGGGCAGGTGCTCGTTCTCATTATCTTCTCCATCAAGGTGGCTAAGAATGTTTACAGTTTCTTACAACTCACAAAGCACTGCCTTAGAAGCTATGTCCCCATGAGGGGAGGTAGGGCAGGTATTATCAGGTTCGCTTACAGGTGGTCAACAGAGGGTCAGAGAAATCGGTGATTTGGGGAGCTCACAGAGCTGCTAGGAGATGTAGCCTGGCGTCAGTCACCGTAGGAGGGCCCACCCCAGCCTGAGTGCAGGCGGAATGCTGTGACACTGAGTGACATGGACAAGCCACCATCCTGAGCCTCCCGCTCTCGTTAGCAGAGAATCACTGTCCTTGGCCTGCTGAACAGGGTGTCTACAGGTGACCGCCGGGGTCACAGCAACAGCTTCCCTCCCTGCCAGGCCCGGGCCCTGAGGTGCTGGAAGTCAGGGGCCCTGAGGTGCTGGAGGTCAGGTGTGTGGCCTTTTGTGGTGTCTGTATGGCCCAGGAAGAGAGGGGCTCCACCGTGTGTGTGTGTGTATGTGTGTGCGCGTGTGTGCGCACGCATCGGAGTATCTGTGTCTCTGTGTGATGTTATATGTCAATGTGCCTTTGTGTGTGTGTGTGTGTCTGTGTGTTGGTGCATAACTGTAATGTCTTTCCTTGTTTGTGTGTGTGTCTGTGAGTGTGTGTGCCTGAGTGCACACGTGTCTCTGTCTCTAGGTGTTTCTATCTAGACTGAGGGTGTGTCTATGTGTTTCTGTGATTGTGTGTCTCTGAGTCGGTGTGCGTCTGTGACTGTGTGTGTTACATGAAACAGAAGCAGATGTCGTGAGAATGAGGGGGTCTAACTCTCTTTATCCTGAAACAAGGACCCCTCGCTGGGGTGGAGAGAACCAGTCCTTCCCAGTCACACCCAGGAGCCCTCAGGTGGCGCTTGGCAGCTGGTGTCACCACCCTAAGTGCCCACACAAATGGGCTATGGAGCCAGAGCAGCAAGGATTCCAGCTCCTGGTGAGAGATTCCCAGGCCAGAGTCTTGGTAGACACAAGCCTGGTGACTTCGGGCAGCTGGCGATTACTGGGCATCTTCCAAGGGTCGGGCACAGTTCCAGGCCCCTAGCGTGTACGAATTCCTTGACTCCTCTCCTCACTTCTCAGAGGGCGTGTCAAGGAGAGAGGAACCCGGATCTTGGATGGCCATGGGGCTTCCTTCCACCCACACTCCCACATGGCTGCACAGCGCAGGCTGGTTCTGCTGGACTGAGCCCATCCAGGGAAGAACAGCGAGACCCTCGGGTGAGATCGGACTCACTGGAGACAAACACCTTGACAGGAGCTGGAGGAGCCCCAGGCTGATTTCCGGGACAGAGGGTTCCTGGACACAGGCACTGAGCATCCCCACACCCCCCGAGACGGGCCCATGAGCACGAGAAGCCCTGCGAGTGCGTGGGGGTGGCCTGTGTGCAAGGCAGCGCAGCGAGCCTCTCTGCAGAAGCCACAGGCTGCGCTGGGTGAGGAGTTCTCCCTCAGCCTCCTCTGGAGCTGACACTGGAGAGAGCACCGTGAGCCTCCCTGCCTGGACTATTGTCTGCACTTAATATAGAAGGAAACTGGGGCACACAGAGTTTTAGCTCCTCTTGGCCAGAGCGAGGATTTGAACCCAGGCGTCTGAACCTTGGTGATCCTGAGGGGCAGAGTGAGTTGGGGGATGGAATTGCGTCTTTTACAAAGTGCCCAGCACAGGGTGGGCACCTACAGAGGGTAAGAGCTGGGGGACTCAGTCGGGTGTGATTTTCCCCTTCTCCTGCCCTCCCCGGGCTGGGACTCCCCTGTGGTGTCCTGGTGTTCACCTGTGTCTCCAACTGTAGAGGCGGAAAGGATTCAGCCTTAGAGATGCCCCCTTGCTCTCCAACAGGCCCCTCTGCCTCAGGCTCCTTTTTCCTTTTTTCTTTTCCTTTTTTTTTTTTTTTTTTTGAGATGGAGCTTCCCTCTGTTGTCCAGGCTGGAGTGCAATGGCACAATCTTGGCTCACGATAACCTCTACCTCCCGGGCTCCAGTGATTTTCCTGCCTCAGCCTCCCAGGTAGCTGGCATTACAGGCATGCGCCACCAAGCCCAGCTAATTTTTTTTTTTTTATTTAATAGAGACCGGGTTTCACCATGTTGGTCAGGCTGGTCTTGAACTCCTGACCTCAGCTGATCCACCCGCCTTGGCCTCCCAAAGTGCTGAGATTACAGGCGTGAGCCAACGCGCCCAGCCAGGCTCTCTTTTTCTTACCCTACTCCTTCGAACCTCCAGCCTGAGCCAGAGTCCGAGACCCTGGTGGACCCCACGGCCACTCCCTAAGGGTCTCAGAGGAGGAGGGGTGCCCTTTTAGCTCTGGCCCTTCAGAGCTTGTTACCCAGATTCCAGAGGACACCGTGTCCTCTCCCCACTGCTCTCTGGACCCCACCTTCCTGCCCCCAGGGGCCTCTGCCATTGAGCACTTGGTTAGAACTTCTGGCCCGAAAGGGCGAGGTGAATTCATTAACTTCTCTGATGGCCTGAGGACCGTTTCAGTCCCCTCTTCCCTCTCTCCTACCTGGTTCATGGTCCCCTCCTCTACCTGCTGGGGCCCTCACAGGTCCTGAAGGCTTTGCGGGTTCGAAACCCAGCCCTCTCCTCCCCGTCTGAGGCCCCTTCCCGTTGTCCAGCTTCATATTTACATTGATTCCACTTCATTCTCCCAATATTCCCATTTCAAAAGGAAGATGGAGAGGTGGAATTCTTTTTCCGAGGTCATATCGTTGGTGAGTGACGGAGCCTGGATGAGAAGCCAGGCCTGCTGTCACCACTTCCTCTCCCACACACTCATGTTTTTCTGGAGAGATCAACCTCTCTGGGTCCTGTATTGCTGTTAGGCCCAGGGCTGGAACCAGTAATACCTTAGTCTCCCCTGAGCTGACAGCAGGTTCCTCAGCCCATGTGTGTGGCAGGGACCCCCGACCCATAGTGGGGCAAGTCCAGGCCAGGCTGCAGGGGCTGGGGCACAGGTTCCTCTGTGGGCACAGCCCCTGACTCTCCCTGGGGGCTGTCGTTAAGCCCTGGGTCCAGGAGGAACCTTATGGATGTCAGAGCTCCATCATGTCAGTGAGGAGAGTGGCTGTAGGTTCCTGAGACCTGGGACAGCAGGCGCAATGCAATCCTGGGGACCCTAAACAGGGCCCCCATCCCGGAGGAATGGACATCCCACACGGCCTGGGCCCAGGCAGATTCAGCTGGGCCTCACTTGACTTAAGTCCGGTCTGAAAGGAGAGAAGCTTCTGTCCAATCAGGCAAGAGGAGACCTTCAAGACAGCCAGGGTGATCTGAGCCCCCACCCCAGGGGAGCTCCACAGGGGGCAATTAGCAAGGCCAGGGGATGGTTTGTCATCATCCCTGTGAGTTGAGGGTCACTACATGACTGTGGTTTTATTGAGAATGTTGTCAAACATCCTAGGATGCATGGCAGAGTCCCCCACAGCATAGCACTGCCCAGCCCAGTATGTCCACACGGCCAGGATCAGGAGCCCTGACGTCCTCCGGGTCTGGCCAAGAGCAGTATCCAAGGTCCCAGCCTCTGAGGAGGCAGTATTACAGCTCTACGCAGAGCACTTGGCCAGCAGTTGGTGGCCTGTTGGCTCCCGGTTCTGCCTGACCAGCTGTGTGGCCTTGAACAAGTTACTGAACCGCTCTGAGTTCACCTTTCCCATCCTACGAAAATGAACAAGTTACTGAACCCCTCTGAGTTCACCTTTCCCATCCTATGAAAATAGAAATTACAAGACATACCTTTAGACGAAAGGCAAAGTCTGCGATTGCCTCTAGAAACAGGGCTGTCCTGTGCTTTAATCAGCAGCATTCCCCAGGCCAGGAATGCCACAGGGCGCAGACAATTATCAAACCAGGCTCCAGGGTCCTGTAAGGTGAAGGCTATCGCAGTTGGGAGGTGAGGGAGAGGCATGAAGTGTGTGGAATCTGGGGAGAGCCTAGACAGAAATCAGGCAGGCTGGATTTACACAGCGCCTCTGAGCTCTGGCTGTGTGTCACGGCACAGTATCCTGTCTCTCTGGGGACAGAGCTTCTTTGTCCATTAAATAAGGGAGGTTAATGGAGATCTCCAAGGACTGTTGTGGTGTGTGGAAGTCATTGCTGATCCTGACTTAACCCACTTCCTTAGTAACCCTGGGCAAGTTCCTTATACTTCCTGTGCCCCCGTTTCCTCTTTTCTAAAATGGGGGCTGGACGCCGTGGCTCATGCCTCTAATCCCAGCATTTTGGGAGGCCAAGTAGGGAGGATCACTTGAGGTCAGGAGTTTGAGACCAGCCTGGGCAACATGACGAAACCCTGTCTCCATTAAAATACAAAAAATTAGCCTGGCATGGTGTGCACACCTATAATCCCCGCTACTTGGGAGACCGAGGCAGGAGAAACGCTTGAACTCGGGAGGCGGAGGTTTCAGTGAGCCGAGGTCATGCCACTGCACTCCAGCCTGGGTGATAGAGCTAGACTCTGCCTCCAAAAAAATGGAATAATATGAAATAAAACAAAATGGGGCTGTGGCACTTGCACCTCAAGGTCATTACAGAGTTAAGTGGAGCTGCAGAGAGCAAGGACTCAAGACCCAGCTGGCCAAGCTGAGGGATGCTGGCTTTTCCTGTTTGCTGACCTTGGGCATGAGCCTAACCTCTCTGGGCTTTGGTTTCCTCATCTGTAAAAGGAGGATAGTAGCATTACCACCTCACAGGATTGTTACAAGAAAGCAATGAGTTAACACACGTGTGTGCTTAGAACAGTTCTTGGCATATGCTAAGCACCTTCTACATGCTTGCTATCTTTCTGATTCTTTCAATGATGATGATGTAGGAAAGTGCTTGCAACTGGCTGGGCGCATGGTGGATGTTTAATAATTCATGGTTGCATTCACACGATGTCAGTCCCTGGTCACTGGGAGTCATCCTGTGCCCTGACTTGGGGCCTGGCCTTCCGTCTCTGTCTTGCAGGACAATGCCATTCTCTGTCTCATGGGGTGTCCTCCTGCTGGCAGGCCTGTGCTACCTGGTCCCCAGCTCCCCGGCTGAGGATCCCCAGGAAGATGCTGCCCAGAAGATGAATACATCCCACCATGATCAAGGGGACTGGGAGGACCCTGCTTGCCGGAAGATCTCCTATAATATCATCGACCTCGCCTTTGATTTGTACAAAGAGCTGGCTGATCTATCACAAACCAGCAATATCTTAGTCGCCCCAACGAGCGTGGCTATGGCCTTTGTAATGCTCTCCCTGGGGACTAAGGCTGACACTCGCACGGAGATCCTGGAAGGCCTGAATTTCAATCTCACGGAGACGCCTGAGGCCAAGATCCACGAATGCTTCCAGCAAGTTCTCCAAGCCAGGCCAGACACCCGGCTCCAGCTGACCACCGGCAGTAGCCTGTTTGTCAACAAGAGTGTGAAGCTAGTGGACACGTTTTTGGAGGATATCAAGAAACTGTACCACTCAGAAGCCTCCGCCATCAACTTCAGGGACACCGAGGAGGCCAAGGAGCAGATCAACAACTATGTGGAGAAGAGAACTGGAAGAAAAATAGTGGATTTGGTCAAACATCTGAAAAAAAACACAAGTCTTGCCCTGGTGGATTACCTTTCCTTTCACGGTAAGGTGGCACCACCTGCCCAAGCCCGTTCCACTGAAATAATCCAAGCATATTCTCAAACTACTAGTTCTTAAGCTTTCCTAGACAACGTACTATGAGATATGGCAGGGCAGGGCATTTAACATGGATTCTGCAATTTTCCAAACACAAACAGTAAAATACTTTCCATGATCAAATAAGATTGAAGAATGATGAGTTCAAGACAGCCAAACCATCATCTTCCCTACAGACCTTGTCAGAGCCTTTATTGTCCTAATACTCATTGGAAATCCCTAACAGGTAGGGGACAGAATATGAAATGCTTCCCACATGCTAAAGCCAGAAAAATGTTTTGTGGCACATGCATAAAGGGATAGTTCCATGGAAACACTTTAGACGGCTCTAGTGTCCCAGAAGCAGCGTCAGCTTTGTGGTCTAAAATATTGGGGTTCAAACCCTGCCTCTACCACTTACTAGCTTTTGATAAAGGACAATGCATTCTACCTCTCTGAGGTGCTAATTTCCCATCTTAGCATGGACAAAATAGCATCCTTGTTGTCAGGTTGTTTTAAGGATTAAACAAGTGACAAAGACTGTGGGGACAATGTGTGGCATACAGCAGGTGATAGACTCTTCTGTATCTCAGGCTGCCTTCCTACCCTTGAAGGGTTAAAATGTCGGGGTCCTGGGGGCCCCAGGGCATTCTAAGCCAGCTCCCACTGTTCCAGGAAAACAGCACAGGGGAGGGGAGGGGGGAGGCAGGGCCAGGGGCTGCTTCCTCCACTCTGAGGCTCCCTTGCTCTTGAGGCAAAGGAGGGCAGTGGAGAGCAGCCAGGCTGCAGTCAGCACAACTGAGGTCCTGGCTCTGCTGGGGCCTTAGGGCAGGTCCCTGTCCCTCTCCAGCCCCAGTCTCCTCCTTCTGTCCAATGAGAAAGCTGGGATCAGGGGTCCCTGAGGCGCCTGCCCACTGGGCATGCCTCGATGGTGAAGCTGTCTTGGTTTGGCAGAGGGGAGGCTGCCTAGGCACCTGCGTTTCCCCTGCCGCTCCAGGGAAAGGCCTCAGGAGTAGTAAGCAGAATGTGTCCTCGTATCTCGAGGGAGTCAGCCCTCTGCATGAGACAGGAAGCCTCCAGCCAGAGGTGGCAAGGCATAAGGATTCCAGTTTTCCTCATTAACTTTCATTAACCATTCCCAAGCCACTATAGGATAAACAGAGTCAAATATAAATGCTGCTTAGAAACTCTGGATTCTTCTTTATCTTCAGGTGATTCTCACAAAAGCTCTCCAGCAGCCGGATAGTTTCATTTGAATCCCATTTTACAGAGGATGAAGGTGAAGCAGAGGGAAGTGTCTCGTCAAAGGGGCTCAGGGTTCCTTTCATTCACACACTTCCACCCTTTTATCGCATACCTGGGTGATGCCCACCTTCCTTTTTCTTCCCAGGCAAATGGAAAGATAAATTCAAGGCTGAGCGCATTACGATAGAGGGCTTCCATGTGGATGATAAGACCATCATCAAAGTGCCTATGATAAACCACCTGGGCAGATTTGAGATCCACCGGGACAAGGAGTTATCCAGCTGGGTGCTGGCACAGCACTATGTGGGGAACGCCACTGCCTTCTTCATCCTGCCCGACCCAAAGAAGATGTGGCACCTGGAAGAGAAACTGACCTACAGCCACCCTGAAAATATCCAGAGAGCCTTTGACATAAGGTGATTTCCAGTGCAGGGGCTGAGCTCAGACCTTTGAGCCATGTCAGGAGTGAGGCCCATCAGGACTGGCCAGAGGGCCACTGGGGAGGGTGGACCCCACATCCCTGGGTCACAGCTACTGCAGCCGACAGAGGCCACCACTGAGTTCAGGTAGCGCCATCCATGGTCCATGAGGAGGTAAAGGTCTTGTCACTCCAGCGTGGACGCTCTCCCTTCCCAATATCCAGTGCCTAGGGCAGGGACAGCAGCACCACTACACATTCTGGCAGAACCAAGAAGGAACAGAGGGGCTTCCTGGCAAAGGCAGCAGGGGAGTGTGGAGTTCAAGGGTAGAATGTCCCTGCGGGGATGGGGGAAGAGCCTGTGTGGCTAGACCCAGAAAAGCAAGGGTCAGAATTGGAACAGCCAGGGCATGTTAGCAGAAGGCTTGAGTTTCTCTGTCACTTTATCGGTGCTGTTAGATTGGGTGCCCTGTAGTAAACGATACTTGAGCATAAGCCACACATTAGTGTATCTGTGCATTCGTAATTATGCCCATGTCCTCTTGATCTGGTTTATTTTTATTTTTACACTGTAAAACCAAGATGAAAATACGAAAGGTCTCAGGTTCATAGTAAGTATGGAGGCTGGAATTTCTCTGTCCCATGCAAATGCCTCCTGAGGTCCCTGCTCCAGGGGTTGAGAAAGAACAAGGAGGCTGAGAGGGTAACTGATCAGAGCCCAGAGCCAGGCTACCTGCTCACACCAGACCCTGCCCGGGGCGGCTCTGTCTCCCCATGGAAAACAAGAGGGGAGCACTCAGCCTGGTGTGGTCAGTCTTCTCTCATACCTTGAATGGGTGTCACTGGGTACTGCTGCCAGCCCCATGTTCCCCTGGGTGTGAGGCCCTGGGGATGTTCCAGGCTGGGGGCCAGGTGACCCAACACTACAGGATGAGACACGCTTCCAGGACACCTAGAATCTGCCTGGAGGGCTTCTCAACGGAGGTGGCATTTCAAGCTGCCTTAACAAGATGATTAGTTTGGTATTAACATTCTTTGATTCTGGGTATAGAGGAGCTCAAAGAAAAACAAACCAAGGTCAACTTCCGATTGCTTTATTTTATTTTTTTAAATTTTTCTTTTAGGTTCAGGGGTCCATGTGCAGGTTTGTTATATAGGTAAACCCTGGGGGTTTGTTGTGTAGATTATTTCGTCACCCAGGTACTACGCATAGTACCCAATAGTTATTTTCTCTGATCCTCTCCCTCTGACTTCTGATCTTGATATGGGTGAGGACACGGCACTAAGTGGTAGAAACAGTCAGGAAAGCAAGTGCTGGTACTGTGGTGGGTTCCAGAAGAACAGGAGAAATGCTGCTCCATGCCTTGATTCTCTTTCCTGCATGGCAGGTCTGTCAGTCTACATTTTCCCAAACTGTCCGTTTCTGGAACCTATGAACTCAAGAGAGTCCTCAGGAATCTGGGCATCATCAAGATCTTCAGCAACGAGGCCGACCTCTCTGGAGTCAGTCAGGAGGCACCCCTGAAGCTCTCCAAGGTGAGGTCACCCAGAAGACCGTGTCGTCCCCTGGTGTCGGCTGGCACATTGTGTGGCAGTCACAGTTCCATCCTGAGGCTGAGGAAGGGGCTAAGAGACACAAATGAAGACCCAGGCTGAGCCCTGAGGATGCCCGAGATTCACTGAGACGGGCCACGGCCAGACAGCGGAGCTGGGGAGGTGCCTCCTGTGCAGCTGCCACTTTCAGGGCCTCGCCTGCTATTGTGTCACTGATCCTTTGCCCAGGACCTTCTAGTTCTGGGCCTTAATTTATCCGTATTGATACAAAAAAGCTTAGGCTCAGTCATTTTGAAAGCCTTTCTGGCCCCTCTCATCTGTGAGATTTGGAGTTTTTGGTGCATCACCAAGCCTGAACCAATGAGTGATTTGAGCAAAAGATGACACTAATTTAGGAAAACTAAAGGTGACCAAAGAGCAACTGCAGTTCCGTGAATGGCTGCGTTATTTTGGGGTCTGGGCACCGTGAAGGTCACTGTCAGAGTCCGCGTCCCCAAGGAGCTTAAAGCCGGGTACCAGAAAGGAGAGAGCCCTGGAGGCAGACGTGCAGCGGGGAGTTGTGGGTGCATCCTGAGCAGGGGAGAGGCACTTGTAGGGAAGGTGGACAGCGGGGAGCCAGCCCCATCACCCAGAGCCTTGATGGGGAGCAAGGCCTGTGTGACAGGGAGGGAGAGGACGTGGAGGGTCAGGGCCACCCGAGTGGAGAAAGGCTGGAGTGAGTGCCTCACCTCCCAGGATACGGCTGTCCACATGGGCGTTGCTCCAGGCCTGGGCTGGGGCAAAGCTCAGCCTCGGAACATATCTCTGCTTCTCTCCACTCCAGGCTGTGCATGTGGCTGTGCTGACGGTTGATGAGAAAGGGACCGAAGCCACCGGAGCCCTCCATTTGGAAGAGAAGGCCTGGTCTAAGTATCAGACAATCATGTTCAACCGGCCCTTCCTGGTCGTCATCAAGGATGACATCACCAACTTCCTGCTCTTCATTGGAAAAGTGGTGAATCCCACCCAAAAATAACTGCCTGTCACGCCTCAGCCCCTCCCCTCCATCCCTGGCCTCCTCCCTGGATGACATTAAAGAAAGGCTGATCTGCCCCCTGCCTGCGTGTGACTGCAAACCCCTCCCCTGTTGTTTCTGAGTCTCCCTTTGTGCGCTGAGGCCGTGTGTGGACTCCAGGTCCCCCTCAACTGTGTTCATGGAGCACCTGGCTGGGCAGGCACGTGCTGGGCCAGGATGGAGGGGGCTGAATCCTCAGTTTAAGGGCCTGGACCTGGGAGCTTATGGAAGAGCAAGGGGCTACCAGGAGTGGCCGCCAAGTGTGGGTCACGTGGAGAGAGCCGGGCCTGGGCCTGAGTGCTAGGAGAACGCTGTGGCACTGTGGGACCCAGAGAAGCCACATTGCTGAGCCTCCTGTTCTCATAGGCAGCATGAGGAGAGAACGCCCCCACCCTGTGAGTGCAAAGCAGGCTGTCAGAGGCGTCGGCGGGGCCACTGCCACACCTTCCCTCCCCGCCAGGCCCTAACCCAGGGGTCGGGGAAGCCAGATGTGCAGCCTTTGGTGGCGTCCGTGTGGCCCAGAGTGAGAGGGGCTCCACCGTGTGTGTGTTTGTGTGTGTCTGTGTGTGTGTGTGGCTGCGTGGGTGTGTCTCTGTGTGTGTGTGTCTCTGTGTGGGTATGTCTGTTTGTGTCTCTGTGTGGGTCTCTGTGTGTGTCTGTGTGTCTGTGTATGTGTGTGTCTCTGTGTGTGGCTGTGCGTCTCTCTGTGTGTGCATCTGTCTGTGTGTATGTGTGTGGTTGCGTGGGTATGTCTGTGTGTGTGTGTGTGTCTCTGTGTGCGTATGTCTGTGTGCGTGTGTCTCTGTATGTGTGACCATGTGTGTCTGTGTGTCAGTGTCTGTGAGTGTGTGTGTTTGTGTCTGTGTGTCTAGGTATTTCTCTCTTTGTGTGTTTCTGCATATGGCTGTGGATATGTATGTGTGTGTCTGTGCGTTTGTGTGTTTGTGTGTCCCTGAGTCAATATGAATCTAAGTCTGTGTGTCTGTGTGTCTGAGTCTATGTGTGTTAGGGTCCCTAGGTGTTCCTGTGTGCTTGTAGGTGGTTGTGGGTGAGGCTGTGTGTGCGATGTTTCTCTGTTTGTGTGAGTGTGTGTCTGAGTCTAGATGTGTCTGTGTGTCTAGGTGTTTCTATCTAGACTGAAGATGTGTCTGCAGCTGTGAGTGCGCCTGTGTGTGTGTGTGTTTCTGTGACTGTGTGTCTCTGAGTCGGTGTGCGTCTGTTACATGAAACAGAAGCAGATGTAGTGAGAATGAGGGGGTCTAACTCTCTTTATCCTGAAACAAGGACCCCTCGCTGGGGTGGAGAGAACCAGTCCTTCCCAGTCACACCCAGGAGCCCTCAGGTGGCGCTTGGCAGCTGGTGTCACCACCCTAAGTGCCCACACAAATGGGCTATGGAGCCAGAGCAGCAAGGATTCCAGCTCCTGGTGAGAGATTCCCAGGCCAGGGTCTTGGTAGACACAAGCCTGGTGACTTCAGGCAGCTGGCGATTACTGGGCATCTTCCAAGGGTCGGGCACAGTTCCAGGCCCCTAGCGTGTACGAATTCCTTGACTCCTCTCCTCACTTCTCAGAGGGCGTGTCAAGGAGAGAGGAACCCGGATCTTGGATGGCCATGGGGCTTCCTTCCACCCACACTCCCACATGGCTGCACAGCGCAGGCTGGTTCTGCTGGACTGAGCCCATCCAGGGAAGAACAGCGAGACCCTCGGGTGAGATCGGACTCACTGGAGACAAACACCTTGACAGGAGCTGGAGGAGCCCCAGGCTGATTTCCAGGACAGAGGGTTCCTGGACACAGGCACTGAGCATCCCCACACCCCCCGAGACGGGCCCATGAGCACGAGAAGCCCTGCGAGTGCGTGGGGGTGGCCTGTGTGCAAGGCAGCGCAGCGAGCCTCTCTGCAGAAGCCACAGGCTGCGCTGGGTGAGGAGTTCTCCCTCAGCCTCCTCTGGAGCTGACACTGGAGAGAGCACCGTGAGCCTCCCTGCCTGGATGTGTGACCATGTGTGTCTGTGTGTCAGTGTCTGTGAGTGTGTGTGTTTGTGTCTGTGTGTCTAGGTATTTCTGTCTTTGTGTGTTTCTGCATATGGCTGTGGATATGTATGTGTGTGTCTGTGCGTTTGTGTGTTTGTGTGTCCCTGAGTCAATATGAATCTAAGTCTGTGTGTCTGTGTGTCTGAGTCTATGTGTGTTAGGGTCCCTAGGTGTTCCTGTGTGCTTGTAGGTGGTTGTGGGTGAGGCTGTGTGTGCGATGTTTCTCTGTTTGTGTGAGTGTGTGTCTGAGTCTAGATGTGTCTGTGTGTCTAGGTG